TAGGCTTATCGTTATTGTTCAACACTTGCTATTAAACCCTATAGGCTTCCCATTATTGTTCAACACTTGCTATTAAACCCTATAGGCTTACCATTATTGTTCAACCCTTACTATTAAAGTCTATAGGCTTACCATTATTGTTCAACACTTACTATTAAAGTATATAGGCTTCCTATTATTGTTCAACCCTTAGTATTAAAGTCTATAGGCTTTCTATTATTGTTCAACACTTGCTATTAAACCCTATAGGCTTCCCATTATTGTTCAACACTTAAGCCTATAGGGTTTAATAGCAAGTGTTGAACAATAATAGGAAGCCTATAGGGTTTAATAGCATTTTACTGAAATTTTTATATTTGATAAGCAGGTGTGCACTTAACACATAAAAGGTGCTCACCAGTCCACATAGGCCTAACAGACCCACAGTGCAAATTTAATATTCCAAATTTTAAATCCAATCTATTTACTGCAGTTGCATATAGGCATAATGGGACTGATATACATTTTTATTAAATAATTTTATATAAAATTCCTAAATCACCAGATAACATTATTGAGAGGTGGGGAAAGGCATAGAAATGTAACTCCCATGTTCACATGAAATGAGCATTGGATCCAACATTATTACAATTTACGGAGAGTTAAATCTATCACCATTGTCTGTTTATAATAAATCATTTTTACAAATAAATATGAATCTTTGGAAGAACAGCTCACCCTGAATATAGTATCCATCACGCAAACCTCCAAATTTTTCTTGACCTGCTGTATCCCACACATTAAACCTGATTGGCCCACGGTTGGTGTGAAAAACTAAAGGGTGAACTTCCACACCAAGAGTTGCTGAAAATTCAGTCACAATAGTTATTGATCTTGAAATATAACTATTCAATGAGACACATTCTCTCAGGCTGTAATAAAACTACTAGTAGACATCCATATACTTGTCATCAAACAAGCTAGAAAAGAATTAAAAATAATCCCATAGTATGGGTAATCTAATATAGCAGTCTAATACGAACATGCAGTGTCAAAAAACAGAATAAATGACTTGTCTAAGGATAAGGAAGGTAGCTCTTGGTTCGTAACTCATCAGCAGGAAGTAAGAGGATCAAAATACGATTAATCATCAAATCTAAATTAATCTTTTTATACTGGAGAACACACAAAAAAATGCCCAATTCTTTGGTACAACAGAATGCAAGCATATATTAAACTACCTGATCAACTACGACAAATTAACATCACGAGATCAGAACATTTTGATTTATAGGCCAACTTACCCACATACTTCTTTTCAAATTCTCCAGTAAGATGCCTTTTCACAAATGTTGTCTTTCCTGTTCCACCATCCCCCACTAATACACACTATAATGACAAAATAAAAACATCAAAAAATAAAAGATACATCAGTTTATAGTCCCTCAGAAAGAGTATTTTTAAAAATGTCACGTAACACTTTTTATTTTGTTAAAATGATAAGCATTCTAATCTATTTCTAAGAAAACCTTAAACCCCAATCTCTACGTCTTACTTTCAAATACTTGAAAGGCTTGAGTTAGAAGTCTCAGACTGATGATTTCCTCAAAAGCTTTGGAAATGGAATAGGATTATTAATCATTGGCTTCTTTAGCATTATCTCTTAGGTTTTCTAACCCTTTTCTGGGTGATAAATGAGAACGAATCCCATTAATTCTTTATTTATTAGTATCTTTCAGTAACAGTTTCATACAATTTTGACTGAAATGTTTAAAAGAATCTCAATCATATAAGTTAACTATGTAGAAAATTATTTTGTCCATCATATCCAGACAAATCATTTAGGTTATTTTTCTAAAACTAATTTCAACTTAGTGCTTTATCGATCAGTGCCTGGTCATCTGCTTTTTTTATTTACTTTAATGATACTGATAGGGGCATATTAATAAAATTTGAAGATAGCATTATAAACTCTTAAGTAATTCTAGTTCCTGAGGACGTTGAAGTATTTGATCACTTGGTTATTTCAATAAGCATTTGGCAAATTAATTCTAATTATAATAAGTAAATACAAGACAATGCATTTGATTATTTGTGTCCCTCGTTAAATATAGTTGGAAATCCACTCAATATGGTGACGGAAGAAATGAAACTTGACATATGGGAAGACAAGTCACCATGCTGTTGAGGCAGTGCTCTTTTGCTAATAGTTTTAGGTGCATTTATAGACATACTGATTACAAGTCAAAAAGATAATTATATTTCTATATATAAATACTAATTAGAAGTCAACTGGAATTCTTCTGTGTACAGTTTTGGTCTTATTGAAAAGGGGGATTCCAGGGTGGAACATTAAGATCTTAATTTTTTTTTGAGGAACAAAATATAAATGGTGATCCTGTTGAAGCTTACAAGATTGTTGGAGTGTGGGTGGGGATTCAATAAGATAAGAATCTCTCATTTATTTTTATTATACTTGGACATGAATGAGATAAGAGGATGCATTTTTAAGATTTGACAAAATACAGGCTTGGTTCTGGTTAATAATGTTTCAAACAGGATGATTAGCTTTTGGAAAAAGTTGCCATCAGGAGCACCTGTGGCCGGTGTTTTACAAGTTTAAAAGAGAATCTACAATTTTTTGAGGAATGTTAAGTTTTTACTTTCTTTCAAAGGTGGGCCTGCAAGGATAATACTGAAGGACCAAATGGTTCTAGTTGTACGTGTAACTATTACCTTCAGGTCAAGTCAAACAACCTAACTAGAGCAAAACTCAAAAATAAACACTGTAATGATTATAGCTAATTAAATATACTTTTTTTACATATAGAGATTAAAATGCATCATTTCACCAGTTAGGTACTCTTGCTGTTAACGATGCCTTTGGCCATTTAGCCAGGAATGTAAAAAAGAAAAGAAAGGAAAGAAGGATGTTAACGATGTTTTTAGCCATTTAGTTTGCAACATAAAAAAAATAAAATTAGCATAAAAGCTCAAGAAACAAACCCTTTTAAGTAGAAAACAAATTACCGCACTAAAACTAGTCTACCTAAACAAAACAGTTCTTACTTTAAAAGTGGGAATACCATCTCCTTGGTTTGTTGGTTGATTCTGTTGTGGTTGCTGCATTTCTTTTTTTGTACGACTAAGGAAAAAACATCAGAAAAATTAAATAGTTAACATTGATTTTCATATTATTTTTTAATTTGTACGTTTTATTCTTCTTGTAAAAACAAACACAGTGTCTTAGCATTTTATTAAAAAAGAAACAAAAAACCAAGTTTATATTTATGTGTTATAAGGCTCGTTATTACAGTCTAAATTCAGTAATACAACGTGACAAGATGTATGAGAAGAATATTACTTAGAACTAAAATTCTTCTAATTGCTCTTAACGTTTATGTACATCAAACCTGTAGATCTCTTAAAAAAGGTTGGTTAAGTTGTGTCAATTCGAGGAGTTACCCAGTAAAGGTTGGTTAAGTTGTGTCAATTCGAGGAGTTACCCAGTAAAGGTTGGTTAAGTTGTGTCAATTCGAGGAGTTACCCAGTAAAGGTTGGTTAAGTTGTGTCAATTCGAGGAGTTACCTAGTAAAGGTTGGTTAAGTTTTGTGAATTCGGGGAGTTACCTAGTAAGCACCAGTGCTCATCATTAACTGTGCACTATAATTATGTTTGCCAATTCAGTTTAAGCTGGCTATTTTCACAAAATCGTATTTGCACGTGTAAGACTTCTCCACCACCAAGCTCCCAGAGAAACAGATCAGATAATCAGTTGATCAATAAATGTATTTATTTAATGAAATATATTTCATGCAAATACTTAAAAGTATACAAACAAGGTGCACACCATTCTATAATAGCATCAAGCAGTACAAATGGCTTTTAATGACCAATTTATTGTAAAACAAATCATTTCTGGTTTTTGTAACAAACTATCTGCAAATATTGGGCCTACATGTATAAGGTTGCCATATTTCTGGTAGCTAAGATTAAGATTGTCAAAAATGACCTCACTACCTCCATCTGTAAACCTAAGTTCACACACTATTGTCAAAATAAGTCTGGCACCATACTATACTGGTACCGGTGCAAAAGCTATCACATAAGCATACAAGCTCCCTTGATACACTGACACTGTTTTTCCTTCACAGGAAAGATACAAAATATACAGATGGAACATTCCACCTCTCTAATAGCAGAGTAAATAACCACATTTGAGAAACACATTACAGGTGTTTTGTTGTGGCGATGTTGCTGTTTAGAACATAATGTAGAAAATAACTTATTTTTTGCATGGCCTGAATGAAAACTAAGGCTTGGAATAATTTTACTGCAGTAAAAGTTCAGTGGCAGTAATACAGACAAGACAAGTACAAAAACAGCTAAAAAAGGAAAAAATAAATAAATAATTAATTAATTCCTATATTTTAGAAATGGTATAAAATGATAAATTCCAAAACAAGTATTTTACTTTATATCATCACATACACGCATATACCCTGCAAGACAAAGAAAATCTAAGCCAATGATTAGAAACCATGTTGAAATATATACAGATGTACAAAGCAAACAAATAAGCAAGGATAAACAGAACAGTAGGGTTTAATAGCAAGTGTTGAACAATAAGGGGAAGTCTACAGGGTTTAATAGTAAGTCTTGAACAATAATGGTAAGCCTATAGGGTTTAATAGTAAGTCTTGAACAATAATGGTAAGCCTATAGGGTTTAATAGCAAGTGTTGAACAATAATGGTAAGCCTATAGGGTTTAATAGTAAGTGTTGAACAATAATGGTAAGCCTATAGGGTTTAATAGTAAGTCTTGAACAATAATGATAAGCCTATAGGGTTTAATAGTATGTGTTGAACAATAATGGTAAGCCTATAGGGTTTAATAGTAAGTGTTGAACAATAATGGTAAGCCTATAGGGTTTAATAGTAAGTCTTGAACAATAATGGTAATTAGTTTAACTCTTGTTAACTATTTGTACAAATAAATGTATTTGTTAATTTATATTTTGTAACATTTACTTACTGTAATTCAAAAAGAAAACTTAAAAACAGCGTAAGTATTTATGTTAACGTAGAGGGGAAAAAAATGGTGAGGGAAGTAATTTATGGTTTTATGAGTTTTAAATACAAGTGCCGGTAGTGGATATTTATAAATCAATGTTTTGTTTTAAATAACAAGTTATGGTTATCAGCAAACACGTTTTACAGTAGCCTATATATTTTTTATTGAGAGGGACAAGTTTCATTTAAGCCTTCACAAACAGTCCACGTTATTTTAGACATAAATAACGTGCTGTTTCCGCCTAATGTACAGGTATTAATTAGTAATATTGCAGCCCTCTGTTGAATTTTATGGTTGTTGTAATATCAGAAAGAGAAAAAACAACTTTATATATATATATGATTCACATGTGGTCTTTTAGTAAAAGAGTAACTTTACTTATACAAGCTAGCAAGTTACTTAAAGATACTAACCAATAAAATTTGCCTCTACTTTCCTGTTTATCATAAATAAAGCTAAGAGGTTATTTAAAGAAACTAACCTGGAGATTTTTTTTCTGTGAAAGACAATGGACTTTGCCTTCACCTTTCTGTCTTTGATGTCTACCTTATTTCCACAGAGAACTATGGGAATGTTTTCACACACTCGAACCAAATCTCGATGCCAGTTGGGAACGTTTTTGTAAGTGACACGAGAGGTGACATCAAACATGATCACTGCACAATGACCTAAAGTTACAAAAGGAAATACAATTTTTGTTTAAAGACGCTTTCAAATAACCTCTTCAGGTACAACAATATGAGATTAAGTTATTTTTTTTAATCCCAAACTGTTGCGAGTGAAAATATCACACACACAATATAGTACAAAACCTGAAAATACAATTAATACCATTATCTGGATTTCTCCCTAAATATTTCCACAAGAGTACTTTACTATAACTATCTAAACAAATTGTATTTAAAAAACAACTGTCCTGAGATTTTGTGTGATAAAACTAATTAAGATTCTTATATGGTTACCATTTCTCAAGAACGATACTATATGATCTCTCTGCATAAATCAAGATGATTCATATGGTGTAACTCAAAGTATTATAATAAATATTAAAATCATGGTAATATCAGAAAATATTTAATTACAGACAGTTTCCAAATTAATATTTCCATCATCATTATGAAAAACTTGAAAAAGTTAACTTTTAAGTGTAGAAAATACACGTTTTTAAGTGAAAAACTGTTGATAGAGATGGGAACTTATAAGAAATAATTAATAGATTTACAGTACAGACTTCAATAATCAATAAGTCAGGTAACTTCAAGCTCACAGCACTAGGTGGTATTTAAGCTGCATTTGATGACAGACAGATTTATTTCCCTTTTTTGTTGTTCCCTATCTAGCTAGAGCTAGTTCTAATTAATCAATAGTACTGTTCTCATGTAAAATAGGTTAACTTTAGGGTATTACTGTCATTGGTCATGTCTAGTAGTTTCTAACATACACAGTTAAATAGTTATTCAGCAATCAGAAGTTTTTTTACGAAATAAAGAATAATGAATATTAACTTGCTCTAACTTTTTAAAGTGTGGCATAGCAGCTCATACAACGGCTCAGTTTGTTTTTTTGTTTTTCCAAGTACAAACTTTTAGATCGTAGCTCCTTCATCTCTTGACTGACACAAGATCTACTTACAGTTTTGGACTCAAGACAGTCAAACCCTTTTGACTGAGGTATTTGACCATGCCCAAGGTTTCACAGATTAATTTAATCTAATGCTGCCTAAGTTTCAATCTGAGGGTAGGCTGGTAGAGATCCTGATGAGTAATAAATGCATGCCCCCAGCTTTTTATTGCTGGCACACAAAAATAAAGCTAATAAAAAGGAAAAAAAAAAGGTCTCATAGATTAATTTACTTTAATCCTGACTAAAAGAATTTCACGTGCTGTAATATTAGATGATTCCTTCTTGTTTTTATTAAAGCAAGCTTTAACATTGGTTAAACATTGTAAAATGTTAAATGTAACATTTGTAGCTTCTAATAAGTAAGTAATATTTTAAGTTAAAGCTATACTATTCTCTAGACATACAGGTATAACTGTGGCTAGTCATATAGCCATTAGGTCACACTCTCACATCTGTGAGTTGTGTACAAACAGAATGCATGCATACAATCACTGGAAGTTACACCAACAGAAGCAGTAACAACTAATATTTCATTGTTTGGAATGATGAAGAACAGTAATAATCATAAACACTAATTCTGATTGGTTGATTATTTTTGCCAGGCATAAGACTAATCTGTTGAACTGAAAACTTTTAATTATCAAAAATAACAAGAAACCTTAACAGCAATAATAGGATAATTTGAATAAATGGATACTTATTACTATTATTTTTGTGATATTAACAGATTTAATCATAATTTCAATTAATCAATTATTTTATGTGACACTAGTTGATAATCATAAGTAACAGATGAGTTAATTGTCCAGCTCTAATTAATAGCACATGAAATAACCAAAAAATATCACCATCAATACTGTAAATAGTCTCACAAATTACTAATGAGGTCCCGTGTATTGTTTGTAGAAAATGAGTTATTTCAAATTATTTTTGTCAGCTAATTATACTAAGTGTTGTAACATACAACATTAGAATTACTCAATATGAGACACCAGGTGGTTCCCACAATTAGTTAATAGTATAAAATCAAGTCGTTCATTTGAAGCTTAAACATAATTTAAATTTAACACTCTGGTGAGGAGTAGCAAGTGATATATATAGTTTTACATATAGATAATTTTCCTGTAATATCTGTACATGATAAGGATTCTAACTTTTAGTAACTGAAGCAATATATTTGACAGATACTTAATTTCAAGCTACTTCATAACATTTTATTTTAAACCGATCAAAAAACATGATTAAGAAACTATAAATTTAGGCTAACTGTACAATAACAGTAACGTACTTAATTATTTGTCAACATGAAACACCAAAACATGCCACATCTGTTAATATAACAAATTTGTAAATTTTGTTTCATTAACAATGTTTTACCTCTAATGTACCTGTAGGAAAAATTCAAAACAGCACAGGAAATACAGAGGTTCTCATTTTACTTTTTGGC